TTAAATGGTAATATAAAGAATTTGGAATTTGGTAGCATGGGCAATGAAGAGTCATTAAGTTAAATATTTTTCCTGTGTCCCAAAATAGTCCACGTTCATTATAGAATGTTAGGAAAACACAATAATGAACTAAAAATCACAATTAAAAACTGTAAAATATTTTTAGATAGGGAGAAGCTTCAGTTTACTTTGGAAAGATCATCCAGAGACAATTTAGAGCATTGGTGGTGAATCTATGACACACATGCTGCAGAGGGCATGCAGAGCTCTCTGCTGGAACATAAATCAAATTTCCCTAGCCTCCAAGCATTGGAGAACAGTTGTTATTTTATAAACTAAAACTTCAGTATTCAGGTTTAACTTCAGTGTTTGCACTTTGCAATAAATGAGTTAGTTTTGGGGTTGCAGCTTGGGCACTTGTCTCTAAGAGGTATACCGTCACTGATTTAGGGACTGAGAAAATGGAGAGACTGGAGAATAGAAGGCAGATTCAGAGGCTGCTGCAGTTGTACTCAAAAGGGATGAAGGTCTAGGAAAGTTGCAATGGAGATGGAGAAAGAGAGAAAAATCTGAGTCATTCCTGAGCAGAAATCAAATCTAGTGACTAATTGGTAATGACAGGTAATGGAAGAAGAAGTATGAATCATCCTGAAATTTTCAACTTGAGAGAATGGAACCAATCAGGCTAGTCACCTATTACTTGGCAAAGATCAAATTTGGGAAACAATGGGATTTAGGCAAGACAGATAAAATATAAGGGGATTGGGCTTGTACCAAGATTTGGAATAAATGATGCAAAGTCAGTGAGAAGGCCTTTTTTTCTCCAGGACTCCAGAGCTAGAATATTCTTTGTTCATGGTTTTACTGAATTTTAAGAATTCTGCTCAGGAAATGTTGTACAGGGCAGCGCCAGTGAGCAGTGGGGGGTGCCAGGGAGAAAACAAGCCAGTGTCTTCCGAGAACCAGTCAAGCTGGAACTTGGGGGACTGACCAAAAAGCAACAATCCCTCCCTCCCGGTAAGCATCTGTGTGAGCCAGTGGCAAGATACCAGAGAGAGGAGTCAGCATATCCCAAGAAACAGCCACGTTGTAACTTGGGGGGCTGACCAAGACAGCAATGAGCCCTCCTTCCTTTTAAGCAGCATGTGAGCCAACAGTGGGCATGCCAGGGAGAGAGTAAGTCAGTGTCTCCTATGAGTCTACCAGTGCAACTGGATGGTTTCAGCAACAGTCAGAGTCGATAAAAACGAAGGCACATAAAGCAACTAAATGCTTATATTGCTGGGTTGATTGTGCTGACCTGGGGCGAGCGGTCTGAGCGTATTTTGGGAGGATGACAGTGTGCAATATGGCAAATATGGGATATTTCCTTGTATCTTGTATTTGAAGGCCAATATTTTTTTCACTGTTTTGCTGTATTCTGATTGTTTGGCTCTATTCAATATTCTGTTTTGATAGGTTTTATAATGTTCCATTTTTGGTTTGATTTTGCTATGTCTGATTGAATGGACAACTATTGTAGAGACAAGGTATACTATGATACCTATTATTTTTTTAAAGGCTTATGAGAAAGCTTTATTTCACCTATAACTGTAGAATGGAGTTGCATCCATTTATTTATAAAAATTTGAAGTTCATCCTGTTTTATGGCTTAAGAATCATCCATTGTTAAACAACAATCTTCTTTATCCACTCCTCAGTTGATGGGCATTTGGTTTGTTTTCAAAATTCTAGTATTGCAAATTGCGCTGCTGTGAACATGGGTGTACATATTTCACTAAGTATGATGTTATTAATTCTTCTGGGAAAGTGCCAGAAGAGAAATAACTGAATTAAATGGACCTCAACACTAGTTTTTAAAAAATCTCCACTCTTATTTCCACAATGTTTGCACTAGTTCACCAACAGTGAAGAAGGGTTCTTTTTTGTTTTTTTAGTTTTATTTTGAAAGTAGTAAAAATGCAATAGCACAAGACAGAACAAAGCCCATCAAGACAATGCAGTGAAATTGGTACAGAACTTCACAGTAGGATACTGGAAAGGTAGTAATAGGTACTATGGTATATCTCGTTATCTTCACAATAGTTGTCCAGTCAATTAGGTATAGCAAAACCAAAAACAGAACATTATAAAACCAATTGAGAGTACTGAATAGAGCAAAAGAAACATAAAACAAAACAGTGAAAACAGAAGATAGAAGTAAATCTCCCATATTTGCTATACTGCACATGGTCATCCTCCCAAGAGATACTGAGACATTTATCCCCAGTAGCTGGGGAGGTGGCGGGGGAGGGGGCAGGAGGAGGAAGGGTATTTGATTTTCAGAGAGTGTACCAGTGCACTGGTAGGCTCACAGGAACCAATGGTTCTCCTACTGGCCCACGCTGGGGGTACTTACCAAGAGGGCGGGCAAATAAGCCGCCTACATCCCACAATGGCCAGTCTGGGGAGTGCTGGGTCTCTTCTTGACCCTCTCTGGGGCACTTACCAAGAGGCAGGTAAATAAGCTGCCTGAGCCCCACCATGGCTGGATCTTGAGAGCTCTGGTTCTCCTTCTGGCCCACACTGGGGACGCTTACCAGGAGGGCGGGCGAATAAACTGCTTGAGTCCCACCATGGCCAGATCTCCTATGGCACCTATTATTGTTATCCTAGTCGCCTGCTCTGAAGTTCTGTACCAGTTTCACTGCATTGTCTCAGTTTGCTTTGTTCTGTCTGGTTTTGTTGTATTTTACTATCTTCAAAATAAAAAAAAAATTTTAAAAAAGCATTCTGCCTGGGATTAATTAGATAGTTTTAGGGTAGTTAATATAAAATCCCTAATTCCATTGTTAATGAGAAAAGAACCACTAAACTCTGTTAAAAATATATGATTTGCTAAGTCTAATTAGATATATGGGGGTTTATTCTGTAACTCTTTATTGCTATATGCATTCTTTTTCATTATAAAATTTACAAAGAAAAATATTTGGGTAACTTTATCATATCAGTTGTACTGTAATCTCATCTATTCATCATCAAACATTCATTATTTGCCAGATAGTGTGTTAGCTGACATTGGGAATACAAAAAAATATATTAAGTGACATAAGTGCTATCAGAATGGTAAAAACGTGCAGAAGAATTCAAAGCTGGAGAGACTCTTTAAATTGGGACAACTTACATTGTTTATCGGGGAGGACGTATGTTGGAGAACATGAATTTCTATTTTATGGGGAAGCTCCAAAACTAATGTGGAGAGGTACTCTGATGCCCCCTTTAATTGTAGGGTCATGCCTCTCTCTGTTTCTTACTGGGTGTTATTAACCTTGCTCAAAAGCCAGGGAAAGGAAACAAAGTTTCATGCTGTTTTTGTGGCTTTAAAAATTTGGTTTTGGGGTTGCATGTAGAGGCACATGCCTGTAATCTCAGTTACTCAGGAGGTTAAAGAAGGACATTTGCAAGTTTGGGCCAGCCTGGGCAATTTAGGAAGAACTTGCCTCAAAGTAGAAAATTAACAAAGAATTGGAGATGTAGCTGGGTAGTATAGCATCCTTCAATTCAATTCCCAAAACCAGAGGATGTGGGGTGCATTTGAGGCCTGAGGATATAGCTGAGTGGTAGAGAATCTGCATGTGTCAAGGCCCTGGGTTCAATTCCCAGGACCCCCATCCCCAGGTTTGAGTTAAAATACTAGATATGGCTCTGATTCCAATAAAAGAAATTCTATATAAAAAGTTGAGGATTAAACCTAGGGCTTTTGCCCTGAGCTACATCCCTAGCCATTAAAAGAAAAGTTTATTTTATTTTGAGACAGATTCTCATTAAATTGCTTAAACTGGGCTCGCACTTCGCACTTGTGATCCTACTGCCTCAGCCTCCCATAATGCTGGGATTACAGGCATGTACCACACCATGCCTGGCTTGGTGAAAGGCTTGCTAAAAATATTATTGTGGCTCCAACGCTGCTACAGGAAAGGCTGACTTCAGTTACACAATCCTATAACCTAGATATTATTACTTTTTAAAATTTGCTCAGGTTTTAAATTTACAAGTCAGAAAACACATACTTTTTCCAATTTTGACTCTGCCTTAGAGTAACTCGGTTTAACCACTCATATGTTGTTTCCTCAAAAGCAATAAATCTAACTTGTCACTTTCACAGTCAATGAGAGGCCAAAAAACAAATGCAAATACTCCTTTAAGTACTCAGCACTTAAATGAATCATTACTGTTACTCTCCAAGTCCTATTCACAATGTTGGATATAATTTACGGCTGACTAAGCATAACATGTACCTAGACTTTAAATTTTCCATTGCCTCTGTATCAGGACAAAAAAGAAAAAATTCCATTCAATCATCACTTTGTTGATGGCTCAAAACACCTTGTTTACTTGTACCACTTGTTTTTCTGAACGTGTGCATCGAGGCCAGTACCTTCCCAAACGTAGTCGAGGATTTCTGAGACATACACTGGTTTGGAGTCCAGCAGTCATTGAACTCCAAGCAGAAGCTGGAGGTGCAGGGATGAATAAACAGAGCCTGTGACTCAGGACTTCACAGGTTCTCTGCAGACTTGAGAGCATATTTTGTCAGAAGAGCAGAGGTGCATGACTCTTGCAGGACAGCACACGCGGCACAGCGCCAGGGGGCAGTGGAGGCCAACCCGGCCGAAGCCAGGATGAGAGCTTCCCCGCGCGCTGGAGTCTGCGGCTTGGAACCCTTCTGCGGTCTCCCTTTCTTAGTGCCTAGACAAGGTAAGACTTTTCCAATACTACGGTATATACATCCACAGGGGGGACTGGAGACTCCCAAAGCTTCACGCCTGTTTCCTCTTAAGGAGTCACTGCGCCCCCTAGCGTAAGAACTTTGACGGAACTGCAGAGAGACACCAAGGTCGCCATGGATTTTTAACACCCGCCTTCTAAATGAACCGGAAGGCTGAGGGCCGCGCCTCCTCCGGAGTCCCGCCCCGACGCAACCCATCCTATGGCGCCGATTGGCTGCTTCCTGTGCGTGAGGACGTTGCGTCGCGGGGCGGGGCGGAGGATCCTTGTCCGCGGCGCTTCAGTCGTGTGTCCCCGGCCGCCGCCCCCGCTGTCGCACCGCAGCTAGCTTTCCCCTGCTTTTAGAGTGTACACGTGACAGTCAGGGCTTCGGCCCCTTCTCACAGCCGCCAAACGTCTCAGCTGAGCAGCCTAGTCCAGCAGGCAGCTCTTCTTGACTAGTCCGGGTTGTGGGGAAGATGGCGCCGGCGCCTGTAGGCGTCCGGGAGGAGCAGCAATTGGGGTGTCGATCCGGACCCCTATCTCGGCTCCTTTTCCTCGCCCAGGCGGTTCTTTTGTTGCCCGGCGCCCGGGCAGTGCCCTGCCCCGCACCCTGCTCCTGCAGCGTTCCTCTGCTGGACTGCAGTCGCAGGAAGCTGCCCGCGCTGAGCTGGAGGGCGCTGTCGGGCCCGCTGCCCCCCGACACAGCCAGCTTGTGAGTAGAGTGCCGAGTCCTTTACGGGGATCAGCACGGGGGCAGGTCTGGTGGCGGGTCGGGTTGGGACCTCAGGTGTTAAAGGAAACTGCAGTTCCGCTGTTGTGGGGTCGGGGGAGCCTGGAAAAGCCGGTGTTAATTAAGCTCTCTGAAGACTTGTGTGAAGACCGCGGTTAAGATTCTCCTGGCCAGAGAGTCTGATTTTCAGAATTGGAGCGGGATATTCAAAGGGTCCTGCACTACCACGGACTCAGGATGCCTGAGGGGCGGGTCGAACACGGAACCCTCCCTGGTTGTATCATTTGTTGTGTACCTGAGCTTGTACGATCCGCTGGCCGCCGGCTGCTGGCACGAGATTTTATAAACAGTATCGCCAAAGACGTGTGAACTGTCTTTTGTCTCTAACATTAGCACATTATGTATTGCAATATTGATACGTAATAGGGTTCAAAATTTCATTATGTGTCTTTGACACATAATGATTCAGTACTAACCAAGAATATCTTTATTTTTATTCATTTATTTTTTTGAGACGGTCTCGCTGTGGAGTACAGGTTGGCCTTAAATTCACTTTGTAGCCCAGGCTGGCCTTAAACTCGTGGGATTACAGGCCTCCACACCTGGCTGCATGGTTATCTTTAGGAATAGCGTTGTTGAGTTGCTTTAATGTACAGTCTAAGGAAAGGAAGGACCACTTTTTTCAGAACGATGTGATGCGTTAAATATTTTATTTGCTTTGGCAAAGATCCCCAAAATTAGGAATCTGTTTATGTGTGCTAGGGAAGTACACTAATTGAATGAATGAATTCTGAAGTCTCCACTGCTGAGTTTTTCATCTTGAGAGGCCTTTATTAGCTAGTGGCACCTAAAGAGCTCAATTAGTCTGAGTCAACCTAGTGGCTTTAGGAACAACAGTAGGTATTAAATACTGCAGTTAATGGGGATTCTTAACTACCAACATACAGTTATTTCTCTGCCACTAACGAGTAACACAATTACTAATTGACAGGCTTCTAATAGAGTTGTCCCAACAAAAAGTTATTGCTATCCAAATGTGGTGGCACATGCTTGTAATCCCGGCACTCAGGAGGCTGGGACAGGAGGATTGCTGTGAGTTCAAGGCCAGCCTAGGCTACATAGAGAGTTCATAGCCAATCCAAACTACATAGTGAGACCCTGTCTCGAAAAACAAAAACAAAAGTCATCTCTGAAAAAAAGTCATCTCTGAACATCTTAGAGTGCAATTAAAGTGTGAGGAACTGTTTAGATTTTCATTGGAAATGGAAAACAAATAGCCACTGGGGAGACAAATATATATATATATATATATATATATATATATGCACAAATATTTAAAAATAGGTTAGCATAAATAGGAAAGAAAATTGTCTTATGAATTCATTAAGGAAATTAACCAAATGCACTAAACAATTTATTTTTACAGTACGACACCTGTAGTTAATGGGGTCCTTTCACTCAAATTAAATTTAAAAATTTCTATCCTCATGCAGTGTTACGCATCTTGTTTGCAGCAAAACCTTTTTCTAAGAAATTCTTGGCACAGCTACCTGATTATGACAGAATAAATCTTGCTCAGGTTTAAAAACAATACAACTTCATTTAGCTGTAATTGAAATAAATGTGGTCTACTTTTAAGATCCTCCATTGATAGGTAAACAGTAATTAGAAATAATTTTGTGTAAGATACATTTATTTTGTTTGATTTTTGTTAATCAAGATAAATTGTCTAAAACTGAGTGATATTCAAAAATTTTAATGTCCTATAATGAAATTGATATTTTCAGTCCAAGTAAAACGCTTTAGAGGGCAGTTCTGTTATAGAATGTAATTAGATGGGTCCTACATTAGCAGAAGAGCTCTTAGAATATTAAAAGATAGGATTGTGCTGTTTTAAACTGAAAAATGAAACATTTTTCAGCAGTTGCCATTATCCATAATTACATCAAGTATTCTTCAGTTTATGTAATATAAAATTTTAAAACACATGTGATGCTTTATATATTAGTAACTTATTTATTTATGTTAGTAATTTAAACTCAGATGTTCAACTTGTAGCAGTCTTTAAAATGAATGTGGGAAAAATTCATCAATCTTTTTTGTTTTGGTTTGGTTTTTGGTGATGCTGAGGATGGAACTCAGGCCCGAGAGGATGCTAGGCAAATAACACTCCAGTGCTTTGCAAGAGTGTACCCCATGCCCAGTCTTGTTTTTGTGAACCTAATGTAGATATTAGCTATACTAGCTGTTTGCTTTTCTAGTATTCAGAACTTGAGTAAACTCTGTTTCACACTGTTCTGGTTACACATGCACACACAAGCAGTGGGAGACCATAATTAGTTTTTTGTTTTGTCAAGTAAGGATGTTAAAGCCTTTAACATACCCCCTCATTGTTGTCATAACTACTTGACAGTGCTAAAAATACTAAGAATTATATGTAGTACTACTATAAAATATTTACTGATAAAATTTAGCTTTATGAAAACCTTGTAGTCCTTCCTATTTTCATTTCAGTAGAGACTTAAACCTCCATCCTGGATCAATATTTGAGAATAACTGCGCTACTAGATTAATTTCATTGGATCACATATGGCTAGTTGTCTTTTTGAGATAGGGTCTCTGAGTCTATACAGTTCAGACTGGCCTTAAACTCACTATCTAACCCAAGCTGGCCTCGAACTTGCAGCAGTCCTCCTGCCTCAGCTTCCTGAATGCTGTGATTACAGGTATGTGCCACCATGCCCGGCTCTACCAATCATGTTTTAGTCCCTTCTGTTCACTTATATTAAGTGTTTCAAGAATTATTTGCATTTGCTCCTTTAGAGTAGTTATAAATAGGTTAGTGCCTAGTGCACAAAGGACATTATCTTATGTTGAATTACTCTGAGAAAGTCTTTCTGGTCTTTCTCTTTTTTTGGTGGTGGTGGGGAAACCAGGGATCGAACTCACAACTGTGCGCATGCAAGGCAGGCGCTTGTGTCTCTGAGCTAAATCCCCAGCCCTAGTCTTTCTAGTCATATGTGACTTGAGGTTGAACTTAAGTAGCTGTCACTGATTTTGGTAACATTGGCAAAATATTTTTACTGTGTATTCAATCCTAATGCCATTAAAGATTCTGAGCTGTCCAACGTGGATACCCTGGGAGGTCACTCTCCCCGGGCTCTGTCCAGGTGGCATAGGGGAGCATAGGGCTCTGCCCCATGATGTACAGTCCCTTTCCACAATGTTAGAGAAGAAGCTGGGCCTTGTGTCTGCGCCTCCATATTCCTACAACTTCTCAGAGTCCTTTGGGCAGTGACTGAGGAGATAAACCATGCAGAAAACAATATCTAGTAAAAATAAATAAATAAAGGTTCTGAGCTCACTGCCAGTGATTTGTGTGATGGTCAAGCAAAAAATATACTGTGGATTGACTCTGGGCCTTGCACATACTAAGCATATGTTCTATGACTTAGGTATCCTACCAACTGTGGTATTATAATTGCTTTTGTTTGTACAGGCAATCTGATTGTTTTAATATTAACAATTCCCCATGCTAATTTCATTGCTATATATGATACCTAATTTTAAATGTGAGAGCCACTTAGAAGAAGTTGTGCTAAATATATCCATGAGAATTTTGATCTTCAACTTTTCTCCTTTTTGATACAATCTTGCTGTGAATGGGAGCAATCGCTGAAGCATTAAAAATGATGAAAAAAGCTTCGTGAAACGTGAAAAGGCGAAAAGTAAGCTAGGAACATTAGGAGCATTAACCTTACCTTTGACTGCTGTGTAGCCTCAAATCTCAACCTTCCTCCCTAATGAAATATATGGCAATGACATTTTTTTGTCTGGTTTTTTTTTCTTCTTTTTTGAAACAGGGTCTTGCTATGCAGTTCAGGCCGTCTTTGAACTCACTATATAGCCCACGCTGACCTTGAACTTGTGGCAATCCTCCAGCCTCAGCCTTCTGAGTGCTAGGATTAAAGGGATGTGCCACCATGTCTGGTGACATGGTGTTTAAAAGTTACTATTTTGGGTGCTGGTATGCTAACCTGCGGCCTTGAATATGCTAAACAGATGCTTTGACCCTGAGCTACTTTCTCAGCTCCTCTTCAGTGAAATGTTTGGATAGATTCTTGGCTAAAAATTTCATCTGAGAATATATTGCTGCAACCCATGCATCCCTTGAGGTTTTTGGGGTGAAGGACCATGACAGGATGAGAAAATAAGAGACAAAGCCGGGATAAGGTGGAGTACTTATCCTCCAGATGGGAGGAAAGGTACTGCTTAACCAATATAGCATGTTTTTTTTTTTTTTTTTGCATATTTATTTTTATACCAAGAAGGATGATACCAATTTCATAGGTGGTTGTGGTGATGCACTCCTATAATCCCAGCACTAGGAGGTTGAGGCAGGCAGATTATTGCAAATTTGAGATAAGCCTGGGCTTACAAAGTAAACGCAAGGCCAGCATGAACCACATACCAAGACCCTATCTCAAAAAGACAAAAAAAAAAAAAAATCCTTAACTGTAGTCGGCTACCAGTCTAGCTGGCAACTGTCAGAAAATGTTACTGATTTGAGTTTCTTTTAAACATATTACTTTAATGTTGTTATATATAGCTTTAGTACTTGTATGTTTTCTGCAGGATGTTCAAGACCAGGTTAAGGTGAGACCTGTTTTAAATACAATCAATTTTGTTATCTATGAAGATAAGTTAAGTCTCTTTAGGAATACCTTGAAACCAGTTTATAGCACCACTTGGTTCTTTTGTCATTGTCAGCCATTTGGATGAGTCATGGCCATTGCTTGACCAAGTTGCTTTCTATGAAAGCTTGGGAGACGATTTTCTCCTGGTGATTCTCCTTAGGCACAACCCACTGACAATCACTTTCCCAGGGACTCAATGAGTATAGGATGTTGCAGCAGAAGTTATCTAATGTACTGGGTCCTCACTGACCTTAGAGAACTAGAGCCAAGATATTGGCTGTCTTC